CATCTTTATGACCGACTTAGCTGACTTGCGGTTCCTTGAGCTTTGATAAAGGCAAAACATGTCAATCAGTCTTAATTATGTTGCGTGGGAAAATGACCTAAGTTAACCTGAAGTAAAAAAGAATCGGTTGTGTGTGAAGCTTTATTTTACTTGAAGTAATTAAAATTTACTTGCCTTGAAATATTTCTTAGCTTATTTAGGCTCTAATGTAAAGACTACCATTATCACAATTCAGCTCTGGGCTCTTTCAGAATAAAGAGAGGTTTTTGTGTCTTGGTAGACAATTCATAATCTGAGTGTCAAACAAAGACAAAAGGATTGACGAACTTGATATTAAAAGCCACAGGAAAAAAAAAACAGCAAAGATTTTCTTCGGCTAAATAATTACTTTAGGACTAATTCAATCGAGCGGAATGAAAACTGCACAGGGCTTTATAAAAGGAGCTAATTACAGATACCAATCGTAAGGTTTTGACTATAAATAAAAATAATTAGCTTTAAAAAAGTAAAATAAAAGCATCAAAAATGATTCCTAACCTAACTGGTAACCTCCTAACCCTAATCTAACTTAACTTAACCCTAACTCGAGCTTTCCTTCCATGACTGCCACGAAAACGCTCCTCTTAATGGTCACGGGACTTGCAGAAAGTCAAAATGGTAAGACAGCGAAAAATTGTCGAGTCCTGCGTCGAGTCCTGGCTCGAAGTCCTGGCTCGAGTCCTAGCTCGAGTCCTGGCTCGGTATTTAGGCATCCTCATTGAAAGCTATTAAAACTTAAGCTTAAATGCAATCAGTCTTTCTGAAAAGTAGAAAATTAGCGAGACAAAATTCAGTGAAAGACGACAGAATCTAGATTCAGACAGCAAAAATGGAAAACAAAACTACAAACAGTGTATAGCTGCCGTAAGGAGACTTCTTTTACCGATCAGCGCTAACAATAGACGCACAAGTTTATTCCGATTTGAGTCCTCGAGGGTTACAGCAATAAGCAAGATGGTAGACCATTGACCCCAAAGACTCGACTGACATCAAGTCCGATGTACCGTAATTTGCCGTATTTGCCGTATTTGATGTGTTAATTGAGTTGTGTTGTGTTGTGGTTTAAACTGAAATACAAGGTGAAAATAAAACTTCAGAAATACTGCGAGCGCAAAAAAATACTGCAAAAATGAAATACAGCAAACGAATGGACAACGCACTTACATTGTTTTGGCACAAAACTTTTGACCGCAAAAGAGATATTCCTGATAGGAAACTACTACTTAGTGCTCTTGAAGAAACAACGTTGAAATAAAAGCTGAACTGAAAATGCTACATGGAGTAAGGTCACCCCTGCACATTGCGTTGATTGTAGTGAATCCTTTATTAACCCACAATCATTTATTTTTTCTTGCAAGACTGTTCACAAAAATTTCACCACTTTGAAAAACAACAAGATCTACCAACCAAAGGAGGGTCGGATGTCGAACACTTCACTATCGACGGAACTCGGTTTCTCGCCTTCGCAAACTTTTTCAGTGAAACCGAAGGACATAACACCGACTCTTTCATCTACAAACAGAACAATTCCACTGGAATATTTTTCCTTTATAAGACTTTACGCACACATGGAGGCATTGACATGGAATATTTTCAAATTGGTGATCAACATTACCTGGCTGTCGCAAATCATCGTTATGGAACTTCGTACCGACTGAATTCAGTTATTTACCAGTGGAGTCTGAGTCAGGAACAATTTGTCGTCTTTCAAAGCATTAAAACATTTGGAGCACACAGCTTTGACTTCTTCGAAATAACAAATGAGCAGTTTCTTGCCGTTTCAAATTATTATGATGGCTCCTCGTACAGTATCAACTCATCCATCTACAAATGGAACAGTAATAAATTTGAAAAGATTCAAGACATAGCAACCGAGGGGGCTGTTAATACTGAGACCTTTGTAATCAGCAATGAAACCTTCATTGCTTTTGCAAACCATGGCCAATGGCATTTGTCCCCACAAAATCAAGATTCAGTTCAGTCAGCTGTGTTCAAATGGTCAGGGCAGCAATTTGTCAAACTGCAGTCTTTCCAGACATATGGCGCCCTAGATGTGAAGTCATTCAGTGACAACGGTTCTACTTTTCTCGCGTTTGCAAACTACAGACACGGTGTGCAACGCAATATCAATTCTCCCATTTACAAGTGGAATGGCAGTAATTTTGTTATATTTCAGTCGATTCCTACTCCTGGAGCAGCCGGCTTACATCCCTTTACGATGAGCAATCAAACTTTTCTGGGTGTGGCTAATCACTATGATGACGGCAACCGGTACAACACTATGTCAGTGGTATATCGAGTTTCTCAGGAACAGTTCATTGAATATCAAGAAATTCCAACCCAGGGAGCTTTTGGCATGACGTCATTTCAATACAAAGGCCACACTTACCTAGCAGTTGCAAATCGTTATACTGATCCTGGCAAAAACAATATCAACAGTGCGCTGTATAAGTGGGCCTAATATGGGGCGCCTCGCCAACAAAGGCCACTGACATAGATATCTTTGGGCCAATGATTTCATGATTACCTCTAGTAGTGTCATTTCAGTAAATTTACATCGCTAGAAGTTATTTAATGTGAACATAGTATTCCTTATATCGAGGTATAATACAGAGTAGATTACGTGAAAGGGATACCTTTTATCCCAAAAATGGCATGTGTACTGTCGCAATTCGTAATAATCATCGCACTTTGTAATACCTGTCGCAATTTGTAATAAATCCATCGCACTTTGTAATACCTGTCGCAATTTGTAATAAATCCATCGCACTTTGTAATACCTGTCGCAATTTGTAATAAATCTTGTCGCACTTTGTAATAAAAAAGCTGTCGCAATTTGTAATAACAGTCCATCGCACTTTGCAATAAACTAAGCTGTCGCAATCTGTAATAATTCCATCGCACTTTGTAATAATTTTTTGAGAGTGATTCAACTTACCTTGTCAATGCCAAAATATGCAAGGTACTTCATAAACAAAGATGATGACGTCTGCTAGCACGTAACATCTCCGCTCATTCAAACCATTTAACTTTATTAACAGTCCTAAACATATATATTTTTTAAATTAATGTTGATTAGTTATCTGACTTACGAAATGCTGTATTCTTAAACCTTGCTACTGTACTAGGTGGTTTGCATTCAATGGTTACCCGGCGCGGATGTACTTCCTTATATGGCCAATACTGGGATGTGCCTCTGGACAGAGCATTGTCAGAGTACAGGATCTAGACAGAGCTAGACACACTAGACAAAAACGAGCCATTATTAAAAAGCATTTAATTTCCGCAATTCGTAACATCCATCCTAAATCATTCGAATAAGGAAAACAGGAAAGTTCAAGCTTTCCTTTTTGGATCTCATAATACGTCGACACAACACCTTCCTTGCCAAACGCGCAATCTTAAAGAAGTAATAATGGCTTCCATACTTTGGCCAACTTAATCAAACGAGGCCTGGAAAGATTCAAAATGTTTACTGTAAATAAACAAAAAAAGTCACCAAAACCGTCGAACCACACCAGAAACATAAGCACAAAATCCAATTAGTCGCTGGCCAATACCTTTGCATGCACCTGTTTTTATAAAACTCACTTGGGGTCTAACACTGAGCCGGCTGGCCAGTTGGTCCATTATTCTCTCTTGATTTGGTCCCATATAGGAACAAAAGGAGTACTCATTCCATCCTAAAACAATTTTTTCTATATGGAGCCCTCTAAAGCAAATACCATGAGGATAGTAAAAAATTCTTCCCTGCGTATATACAACAAGACCTTGCAATTCTTCCGAGCGTGTTCAGGATTACTTTTTTTCCCACAAGATGGAAAGGATGGAATAAACCATCCATTAATACTTGAGTTACCCTATCTAAGGATCAAACCAAAGACACAAGGCCAACAAGGTAAAAAATGATACTCTTGCGCATGTGCGTGTACTGACAGTACGTGTCTTTTTACTCTCCCAGTTACCGTCCATTTATTTTCAAATTTTAATGCCCGTCTCAGTAAAATCCCTTTAAAAGTAACGGAGAGCTGAAGAAGCAGCTCAAGGAAGCTGAAAAAGAGTTGAAGAAGCAGGAGCAACGAGTTACGGACCAAGAATGTATTGTTAGTTAAATGTCAATAGTGAAAGCCGCGCTTCGGCCATCTTGAATCAAGAAGATGAAGCGAGCCTTGAGTTCAACGGCCAAGAGTTTGATGGTACTAGGCTGCAGGAGCGTTTGCCCAGCCTTCACGACATTGATCTTTTTAGCTTAAATCTTGATGAAAAGTCTAACTCTGACTCTGAGCTCTCACCTTTCCGCCCCATTCGTTGTAAATATCATTCACCGCACAGATTATATCAATTCAAAGATAAGTTAAGCCGTCAATCTAATTCTAAACAGTTTCTCTTATACATAGAAATATACGCAGTCTCAAGCACAATCTTAAAAACTTTCAAACTCATTTATTAAATGAGCTCAACTATCGTGCATAACAACTCCTTCTCCTTAATTGAATGGGGGATAATATACTTACAAATAAACTTGATGGTGATATTATTAGTGGTAAATGTAATTTCGGATATTACTGATCACTTTACTCAATTTTGTATTGTGTGCTCTCTTACAGTAATTGGTAAAAACGAGAAATGCTCTTTTCGTGATTACTCACACATTTCAGAGGAAAATTTTTTACATGATTTATCACAGATTGATTCTCAGACTTTAATTTCTGAGAGAGAACCTGATGTTGACAAGTTATTCTCTGTCCTCTATACTACGCTAAATAAAGTTGGAACAGTATTCCAGATGTTATGAGACAGCTCCCAAAATATAGATTCAAGAAAAAAATAACTGAATCCTTATTTCAAATCTTCTGAAAACAGGATTCTTATCTTGATATAGATATGTTGATAAATGAAATGAAAAGAATTTAAACTTTTCTTGTTTCTATTTGTGTGCTTGTGGTTTCTTTGGCCTCTACGTCTACAAGTTTTCTATCACTCCTCTAGCCGCTTGTACATGTAATTATTGTAATTTTGTAATTGTTGTATATAGTTATGTCGTTAGAAAAATATTGTATACTGGGTAATAGACACGTGTCCATACTACCTGCCTCGATTAGCTCCTCTATTCTGCAAGTAGTCTGTATTTGCAATTTATTTATTGTGAATGTAAACAAATATAGCTTGAGGTTAAAAGGCTCAAAATCCTCAAAAACCATACACTATCAGGCGGTACTTACCTACCTAGCCCATCCATATATGGGATTTTCCACCCCTCCCCCCCCTCCAAGACTTCACGTGTCACGTGGCAAGCAAATATAGATTTGGACGACGAATACTAGATTATTCATGAATTTTCTGTTGTTAAATGTTGCTTTTGTTATTTAAATATTTTTGAATTTAAACATGACTCATATCTTTTTGGTGATATGTCACAGGAAGTTTCATGTCTTTCATAGAAGCGATTCTAGTTGGTCACGTGATTAATCAAGGCAGAAAAATTTATAGCGGAAGACATGCATGTTTGACCAAAGAACATGTCACGGTGATGTTACGTACTAGCAGACGTCATCATCTTTGTTTATGAAGTACCATGCATATTTTGGCATTATATTAATGTTAACGAAGTAAGTTGAGTCACTCTCAAAAAGGTATTATAAAGTGCGATGGAATTATTACAAATTGCGACAGCTTAGTTTATTACAAAGTGCGATAGACTGTTATTACAAATTGCGACAGCTTTTTTATTACAAAGTGGACAAGATTTATTACAAATTGCGACAGGTATTACAAAGTGCGATGGATTTGTTACAAATTGCGACAGGTATTACAAAGTGCGATGATTATTACAAATTGCGACAGTACAGCATGTAAAAGGGTAAGGTGTCGGACACCTCAGTGGAGCCTCCTCGTATATAACTCTCTGGAGAGCCTCTTCCCCGTAATTTCTGTCAGTTCTAACTGTTGATACGGGGTCACGCTTTTGTCCCGTTAGAAAAGTAGTACAGGGCGCACCGAATTAACCTTTCTTTAGGTAGGAATCTCCCCAATAACAGCATCAACGTACTACATTAATGTCGATGATGTCATACCTTTTCGTCTTTATCTCATGAACAAAATGCGGTGGATTCTCATTATCGTCCCTTTTATTGTATTTTTAACACCATAGAAACAATAGATTTTGATAGCCTTTAATTGACCGGTTTTCATCTGTTTATCTCAAATGTAGTAGTGCTTTGAGGATGCACGATATTGGGAGCGAAATTATTAAACTTTGGAGGAGCAGGAAGGGAGGAAAGACACAAGGGAATACAAGCGTGTCCGATAAAGGCACCTTCCTTGCTTGTCTTTAAGGGACGATTTGCATCGACCATTTCTAGCGTAACGCAACGTTGCAATGTTGGAACAATGTTGCAACCATTTGAAACAGTCGCAACGCTATGTTCCGCTGAAAATTGTCCTCAATCGTCTTGTGTGACAAACATCGCCCTTTTGGGAATGATGTAGACCTTGCCCGCTTTGTCTTGTTAACATTTTGATTCAAAACATTGTTAAATTTTATTGTGTTTTTTTATCGTATGTATACCGTATATTATCCATAATTAGATCGCTATTATAAGCTGCAGTATTAAAGCGTGAACTTTAAAGCAAAACATACATTGTACTGTTGAAGCCACAAATGTAATAAAGCTCCCAAACGTAATAAAACCATCGAATGCTATCAAAACCGTATATACTCGAAAGAGCGCCGCCCTCAATTTAAGTGGGAAATAAATAAGCGCTCTTTCGAAAAACACAATATTCTATTGCGTTCAATCGAAAGAGCGCCGCCCTCAAATGACCTTCGCACTTTGAAGTCAAAAATCAATAATGTTCTGCTACATTGAACCGAAAGGGGGCCGCCATCGAGTAAGTGCCTCCCTCCTTGTTCGACGGGGGCGCAACAGGAGGGCATTTTGTATGCGCATGCGTCAATGTGGGCTGTTGAAGTGCCACAGAGGCATTTGCTGTGAATTGTTTACGTTCAGTACCAGCATTTGCAGGCGGTTTTCTGGAGCTGAATGATGTTTATTGGGTGCTACGTTCCACAAACATGTTCTCTAAGGTATTGAGGTATTCCTGTGATAAAAATGAGTTTATTGTAGCCTCGCTGTCGCCCTTGAGAGGACAGTCTTTCCTTTCGTAAAACAGTACATCGAAGACAAGACGGCGGCTGAATGTTCTTACCACCTAACATTTCGCGCACATTTTTTGAGCGGGAGGAAAAGGTCAGTATGATAGTTTTTTATTAAACAATTATCCTATAGATACTTTATTCTTCTCAACAGTATAACTCTAAAATCGAACTTAATCGTTTCAGGAATACAGTGGTTAAATAAGTGTCCATTCTGCCGTGAAACTGTTTTTCACCCTTTCTCTGGCTTGTTTATCTCGAAATCTTGTCTTTCTCCCCAGATTAAGTTAATGATTTATGAAATT